CTACTTTCTTATATGCCTATGAAGGGCTCGAACTGCCTTGTCTAACCTAAGACCTGGCAGTTCCAGAAGAGGTGTATCATGGCGAACGTGCGGCTGTTGAGGGCCAGCCGCCACCACCTCGAGCTGTCTTGCATATTTTCCTAGCTATAAGAGCAATCCTCTTGGCCTCCAAGACCTCTTCCATAAATTCCCACTTATCTTGGTACTCAATTGGGACTTCCTAAAGTTCATCTTCAACATAGATAGCTCGCTCCACCATCAAGCATATCTCCTGAGCACTCATTTCTCTCAACTTTTTTGCCATAGTCTTCTTTCTCACCTCAGTGCTTTCGAGAGCCATGTTTTTCTTATGTGGAGACTGCATCAACTCAATACCCTGTACTTCTGCTCTTCTCTTCATAGGACTACCAACTGGTGTTAGCTCCCTTCTTAGTATCTCCACCCCACTCGAGCCCTCAACTTCAGTACCCAAGAGAATGTGATTTTCTTCACTTATTTCCTTGATCGACATTGTGTGTCTGTTCTCCAATTGCCTAGGTAAAACAATACTAGGAGCTTAGGAACACCCTTCCTGTCTAACATTCCAAGAGGTCAGGCCTCCCAGCTCATTGATGGGGTAGATCCGCCGTCCCAACGTCCATTCTTGGTTTCCTGTGCCATATCTTCCTCCCCCGCTATGGTGGCGATGACAAATCTCCATGCTCAGGGGTCAAGACATTGTTGCTACCCATCACCTGTGTCTCCGACCTTGACGTACGTTCTACCTTCTGAGAAGGTGGTAATAAACTATTTCTCACAGCTCCAACATGCCTCATGTCACCCATCCCAACAGTCATGGGCCTTATAGCCTCCATTATCCCCCTGATTGGCGCTGCCTTGGACCATTCTCCATAGCCAGCAGCCCCCATGTATTTGGCTCAAACATACACTCCGTATTTGCATGACCAATACACCCACATTGGTAGCAAAAATCTTGTATACGTTTATAACTAAACTCCACCCAAGTGTCTCTGTTCTACTTTCTTCTTAGCCAACATCCATTAACTAAAGGGGTCGAGGTGTTGATATTGAGCTTCACCCTTAGAAAACCCAGAGCTTTGATGGGGTCCTCCATCTCTATGAACTCCCCAGCCTCCTGCATTAGACGACGAACATTTGGTTTCGTAGTGAGGCCCAGGGGGACCCCCTGATCTGGATCCAAAATAGGACAATCTCCATCCTGACTTCCTCTAAAGCAAGTTCCGATGGCCACATCTTCACAGAAAAGTTTTTCTTCATCATTGCCCACAGAACCTGCTCAAGAATCTTTGTTGCCATACTTGAATCTTTGACCGTAATGACAAAAGTATTCTCCTTGACCCATTTAACATCTATTTCTCCGAAGTCCTTCCAAGTGGATCTAAGAATGTTCCTGACTCCCCACTTGTTGAGGGTCCTTTTCACCAGAGTCGTACCGACCAATTTCACGCCATGCTCCATAGCCAACAGGTCTATAGAATTTTCAAGGTGGACCACAAGCTTTTCCACTTCTTGGTGTGCCATTTGTCTCCTCGTATAACTTGGGGATTGATTGGTGCTTTCAGAGGTGTACTGGAGGTAAATTGTAACGGCCCTCTCTGAGATTGCAGATGGGTAGTGTTTCTTCTTTTTTTCCTTAAACTTGATCCGTATTGTTTGAAGTAAGGAAATTAGAATTGCAATATAGGTTGTTGGGAGGAAGTACCTGAATCTGGTGAAAATTGAATTCCAGATGCATTTATGTGATGCGACGCAAGTGGTTGCTTCCCTTATTACCATATTAATTATCAGGAGAGATCTGTACCTCTTAACTCCCCTACCTTTGTTGGCTCGCCTAGATTTGAATCTAACCATTAATTTACTACCAACCGTCTAGGCCTCAACCAGCTGAAAGACCCCACAAAAACCCATTAAATCAAATTCTAGAATGAAATCCAATGAGTTAATGTAATTGTGAATGTTCTGAAGCATGTGCTATGGTTTCATGTTTTATTTCAATTTCTCTGATTACAGATTAGTAAATGAATTATTAATTTCTTTGATTTCAGATTGTAGAAATCATATCTCGATTTGAATGGTTCGTGACCTATTATAGAGTTTATGACCTCTAAAATTTTTTGTTAGCAGTTTCTTTAATCATGTTAGTTTTGATAGTGTTTCATTGCTCAGAAAATTTAAGAATTTAAAATATCCTGGGTTAGGGGTTTTAAGAAATACCCAAGTTATGTAATTGAGCACCTTTTTTTCTTTTTAGGATTCTCCAACTTTCATTTGGATCAAATTTTGGGTCTGCATGTTGTACTTGAGGTTAAAATTCAAAACTTTTATAAATCTTCGATTGATTGATCAAGTTTTATGGTATAGATGATGCAAGAATCAATCGCTAAGGGTTCGAGAGAAGGGTGGTTTCACAGAGGTTGAAGCTCTGGCTCTCAGTTCTAAGTTCCATAAATCCTTGATTGTGCAAATATACAATGATTTCTATTTTATGTCAATGATCAAAATGTGTCACTTAGTATTACGATCTAGTGATATTTCTTTTCACTTGTAAGTAAGAGTATCAGGTTTGATTCTCGTTAAAGGCGAATTTGAACTATATTATTGCTAGCCCAGTATGAAGCTAAACCCACATCCTCCTCTTAATGTAGATATTATCGATTGTTAAAAAAAATGATCAAAATGTGATCATAATTTATATATATAAAAACTGAAAATTTTAGTTCCAGATATTGAACAAGTATGTGGTTTTTGAAATTTGTTCTGTCATGTTTTTTTTCAAGGAGAAGAAAGAAATTACAATTAAAAAGGTCATGTGTAACAAGTGGCAATGTGTCACCACTATTAAAGGGCTAGAGCTTTTTGGTGAGCTATCTGTTGTGTTACATCCTTTGTCTTTCTATTTGAAGAATCTTATTTTGTTCCTACCATAATAGGTATAAGCTATGTAAGATATTCTACAGGTTTAAGACATATTTTTCCTTATTGATCATGAGGATGTAAATACATTTTCATATATTCCACGGGTTTAACACATATTTAAAACCTGCAGTATTGAGTGGGCTGAATTGCTTATTATCTTTTTTTTTAAGTAGAAGAGGAATTGGCTGTAGCTTAGCTACAGTCAATGAATTGTCATCCAATTTCACCTTATTTGCAACAATGCCTTCTGTGGGCTTTCGCATCAATTAGTTTAAGCCCAGTCCTTTGGGAGTCAAAATGACGAGAGTGACCATCTGGGCTTCAGATCACACGGTGAGGATGACAAGTTAGAGGGGTATGGTAGGGTAATCATTTTGTCCTTAGGGTTTCGGAGCGATTGGGGTTAGGTTGTTTCATCATTTGTTTCTTTCTTGGGTAAACTGCAGTTTAACTCCCTGAACTATTTTTTTGGTAAATAAACCTCTTGACCTATTTAAATGTCCAATTAACCCCTTGCAGTTATATCTGTCCACCATTTCGTCAAATTTAAGGGCAAATTAGTCATTTTATCATCAATTCTTACTTGTCAACAATGACCACAAATAAAATTATGACACATGGACACAAAATAATGTGTAAAACATATAGCATAATAACAAAACATAAAAAACCAAATGTTACATAACGGACCATTTCACATTATTTTGTGTCCATATGTCATAATTTTATTGATGGTTATAACTAACAAATAAAAATTAACAATGGAAAGACTAATTTGTCCTTGAATTTGATGAAATAGTGGATGGAATCTATCAACAAGAGATTAATAGGCTAATTTCAAATAATTCTAGGGGTTAATTTACCAAAAAAATAGTTCAGAGGTTAATTTCAACTAGGGTAATAGTTCAAACAGTCAAATGACAGTTTACCCTTCTTTCTTTGCTGCAAGCATGGTGGGTGAGACCCATGCTGTCATAGAGAGAGAGAGAGAGAGGTAGACGGGTTGTAGAGAAGCAGGAGGGACAGAGAGCTCGATTTTGGTTCAATCTATTGCGAATAGTCTTTTCAACTTACCCATTGTGTAGTTGCCTCTTGAGACTGTTGAAACAATATCGTAGATATGTGATAACATTTAACAAATAACATATGAGAGTCATTTGATAGCCATTTCATTTTGCTTTTAGTTTTTTTTTGTTGTGCTAGAGATGAACGCGAAGTGTATGTGTATGAGAGAAATAAGGATGATATTTTTTTTTTAAATGATTAATAGAAGCAGCGTGAGGAACGTGAACTTTGAACATGTTCTGCAGACCTTGGATATAGTAACAAATTGGAAGATTTCCTCTTTCTGTTTAAGTTGCTTTAGCACCATCAGTCTTATATATGTACATTCATTCCATCATAGTTTGTCACCATAGTAATAAATTGGAAGATTAATGTTTCCTCTTTCTGTTTTAGTTACTTCTAGCATCGTTATTTGCACATTCATTCCATCATAGTTAGTCATCGTTCCCACTATACTTTGCGACTAGAGTTTCTTATAGGTTGGCGCTCATACTGTAATATAATATATAAATATATCATGTATATTAATATATTGATGGATTATAGTATAATGCATGTTTATGTTGGTAATAGTAATATTGGAGTGATATTTCATGTCTCCTCTTCTTATATGTGAGAAAAGGCTTTCCTTAAAGATTTCATTATCATGTAGAGAGACCATCTTGAGCTGCTTGAGTGTGGAATATTTTATATATATATATATATATATATATATATATATATATATATATATATATATATAACAACACTCAAGTTTGTGACTTTAACACCCTTTCTTGGCTCGTGTTCTCGAGTAAAAATACTACCCGGACAGATCATTTATGGAGGCAAAACAAGGGAGGCGATCTTCGTGGGGTTGGAAAGGTATACTTCAGGGACGTCGTATTTTGGAGCGGGGGCTAAGATGGAGAGTTGGAGATGGGCAGAGTATCAAGATTGTACATGATCCTTGGATTCCAAAGTTATGCACGTTCCGTATACGGTCTAGGCATGCGGAGATGCCGGTGATGGTAGGGGAGTTGTTTGAGCATTCTACGGGATCGTGGAAAAAGGAGTTGGTACTTAACTATTTTGAAGAGGAGGAAGCAAAACTTATACTGGGGTTGCCTATTAGTTTAGATGGTTGTCATGATAAACTAATTTGGCATTATTCTAGGAATGGAGAGTATACGGTCAGAAGTGGCTATGGAGTGGCTATGGATCTTCAAGCGAATGGGGAATTGGATAGGAAGGGTACGGGAATGGGAAGTAGGAGTATGGTGTCTGACCGTGTTTGGCAGGATGTATGGAGGCTAAGAGTGCCAAATAAACTGAAGTTTTTTATATGGAGGTGTTGCAACAATATACTTTGGTGGTGCGGAGGAATCTAGCCCGAAGGAGGATGCGAGTGGAGACGACATGCGTTTTGTGTGGTTCGTTTGAGGAAACGGAGGAGCATCTGTTCTTTGGGTGTGAATTTAGCCGGGTCTTTTGGTATTGCTGCCCTTTACAGATTGATGTGGATGCCGTCAAAGGGGTGGATTTTCTGGAAAGTTGGAAGAAGATTGTAGCACGGTTTAAGGATGAAGCTGTTAAACTGTCCCACATCGGTGGGGTGAAGAAAATCAAAGGGGTTTAAATAGTATTACCCCACTCTAACTAATACCGAGGCTTTTTGTGGTAAAACCCCACACCTGAGGATTGTGCAGGTGGTTAAGTGGGGACAGTATCGGTGTTGTTAGAGTGGGACCGGCCCAGCGATCCAAAAATTCTAACAGAAGCGGTAAAAGACGAGCTGTTACAGGAAGTTGTTTTTGGCCTTTCGAGAATATGGAAATGTCGGAATGCATTGGTTTTTGAAGGTACATATAGAACTCCAAAGGATGCGATCGTTTTATCACGAAGCCATATTCAAGAGTTTAGAAATGCCCAGCCAGAAAAGACAAGGGAGAAGGAGCGCTGCTGGAAACCTTCAACGTCGGTTTTTGCTGGACAACAAGTTCGATGGAAACGTCCTAGTTTTGGGACTTTGAAAATTAACTGTGATGGGGCATGGCGTGGGAAATCAATGTTAGGTGGCTATGGGTGGGTGCTGCGAGATTTTGCGAGACTTTTGCACATGGCTGGTAGGGTGAGAGGTGAGTTTTTCAATGATGCAGCTATGGTGGAAGCGGCTGCAATTCGTGCAGCTTTGGTGGTATGTAGGGACATGCATTATGAAATGGTAGAGATAGAGTCTGACGCTCTCTCTCTTATCAACATGATAAATGGGGAATGCTCAATTGATGCAAATTTGGAATGCTTCATTTTTTATATTCAGAATTTGGTGTCTCAGATTAGAGAGGTGAAGTTTATGCATGTTCAGCGAAGTGGCAACCTCGCTGCCCATGCAATGACTTCTTATGCTACCTGGCATGGTGGTTCGTTCATGTGGAATGCTTATGATTCTGAATTTCTTTTTAATATTCTTGCAGAAGATGTAAACGTTTCTATTATAATTTAATAAAATTTATCCTTTGACAAAAAAAAAAAAAAAACCCTTTCTTTTGTTATCTTTTTTACGTGTTTTTAATATGCTAAGTTAAGGTGCATGTCCATACATATATGGTAAAGAACAAAAACTAAAAGAAGAAAACTAAAATTTAGAAAATTCTATGCTTTGGCTACTGAAACTAATAAATAAATTGCAAAACAACCGTTAAAATCACACAAAGAAACAATTTTTTGCTCGACGTTTGACAGCTTGTATTTTGCTAACATGTGAATATTTATATCATGCATTCATATATGATAGTACTTCACGAATAGTTATAGTTATAATCTCTCGATATAACGTAACATGTTAGACTACAGGTATTAATCAATATGTCTAAACCTCAATCATAATCTTAATATATATAGCTGGGTGTATACCATATTGCCCTTCCCCTTTCTTCAAGGGGTGTGCTATCCACACATCCTAAATTACCTCTCACATACCTTTGTTAATTTTTGTTCGTTGATCTTCTTCCATTCATCCAATCCGACGGCCGAAAATTAGAAAGATGTGTGAGAAGTAAAATGGGATATGTGGATATCACATCCCTTCTTCAAACGACAAAAGAGTGGAAAAGTTGGGGGTGTCCGTGGTCTTTTCATTTAGTTGGTCTGATGCTTAAGTTTGCGGCTTCCTAGGGCATCGCACATATATATGCAGGTGAAACATAATGCCAAGGATAATCGTACCACAGATGGGACACAAAGGTTCGGTGCTGACTTCTGTGAAAATTTGGGTTATTACAGTGGATGTTTTTCTATCCCCTTTATATCGTAATTTAAAAACTAATGTTTCCCTGGTCAACTTATTCAAACAAAATTTGATTTATGCTCTACTACGGTTTTGATATGCATTAGGACCAATGTTCTAAAATTTCCTGCTTAGCACTGCCTAGGTGCTAGGTGATTGGTCATCGTCCCTATTAATGTATAGGAATTTAAAAATTAAGAAAAGTCGTCTAGACCTGCTGAGGTGTCTATCTAGACCGCCTAGACACTCGCCTAATCCGTCTAGACCCGTCTAGGCACCAGCCTAGGTCGTGATTCATTGAGACAGAAAATAGATAACTTTCATTTTGCATTTTATATTTTACAATAAATTATAAGAGACTTGTTGCATACTTACATAAAAACACATTATATCCTTGTTTCTCATGTTTTCATTATGTTCCAATACTTTATAATATAATGCCATTTTATTTTGTAATTTTTAATGAAATTATATATATTTTAAGTATAAACAGACACTTATTTACACAAAATATATCAGGTTTACTTATATCCACTTAGTCGGCGTAGACGTCGGCCTAGTTGCCTAAGTGCTAAGCCCCAACTCGCTGCTCGACTAGCGGTTAATGTCTTTTAGAATCTTGATTATGTCGAAGAACATTGGATGAGATTTTATAGAAAACACAGAGGCCTTATACAGACCTTTTTTCACGTTGTGCCAGAAATGTTAATACAAATTGCAGCAGTTTGTCATTTTTATTAGTTTTTCATACTCTTATATATACCTGTAGCAGTTTGTCATTTGAACACTGTAGTAGTCACAACAGTTTGATAAAAAAACCATGAGGGTGTGTTTGTTTCCCTTCACAAGGTTTCATTGGACTAGACTATATTAGAAATTAGGACAGTCCTATGTTTGTTACACAACCGGACTAGCTTTAGTGGGATTACCCTTCACTCGCCTCGACTAAAGGGCTCGCTAGATCGTCTTAACGAAACCCCCTAAATTCTAGCGGACTAGTAAGACCGTCATCTCTATTGTCGTCTCGATTTGCTCCATAGCCTTGCCGGACCATTCCTCGACCAATGCCGCATCCTCATAAGTCTCTCAGAGCTTCCTCTTCCACTTCATCTTCTTCATTTTCTTCGATTTTGTTTTGAAGATTCGTGAAATTATTAGTGGGTTTTGAACGATTTCTGGTTTTGATCGATTTCTGGGTTTAATCGATTATGGGTTTTGATTTACTGGGATTTATGCATTATGATTTATTTCTGGGATTTATGGGTTTTGATTGATTTCTGGATTTTAATTTGATCCACAAATCAGTCAAATTGTTTTAGGAGAATGTTTGATCCTACAGAGAACAATCGTCTTTCTATGAGAAAATCGTTTACGTGCATGTCCTTCAAGAGGCCCTGTTGTTATTCCCAACATCGACCTCGTCGATTATGCCTATCCATTCGAGTAATTTTGCTTCTTAATCTTTATGTTTTTTCTGTCATGTTTATTTTATGGAAATTATATGTACATATACATGAGTCAAAATAAACAAACAAGAGGGAGCCTTCACAAAGGTTGCTTAGGAGAAGTCTTAGCAGTCGGTAGAGCCCCAGAAAGAGAAGGCACCGGAGGCGGATCATTCGGAGCCTCAGTACTGAACAGCACCCTAGAAGGAGGAGGCATCGGAGGTTGATCATTTGGAGCTTCATTACGCGGTACAGCCCTAGAAGACGAAGGCAATAAATGCCTTTGGAACAAACCCACAAACTTCTGATGATCATGTAAAATCTGACCATCAGATTCATTCATCTGGTCAAGCTTCCTCTTCATGTTTGTAGCATAGTCATGTGTGAGCCGGTGCAATTGTTTATTCTCATGCTTGAGCCCTCTAATCTCCTGTTTGAGACTCATCACTTCAGCCACCAATGATTCAACTTGGCGGGTTCGAGCAAATAAGCGTTGGGCCATATTAGACACAGAACCTGCACACTGAACATTGAGAGCCAGAGAATCCTTAACAGCCAACTCATCAGACCGTTTGGAAAGTAGTCTGTTATCTTTGGGAGTGAGAAGGTTCCTGGCCACCACTGCAGGGTCATATCATTCTTCATCATGGAATCCCCAACGGTAAGAGGACCAGTAGGGGATAAGAAGGATGGGCGCCATATGTTGTCTGGAGAAGGCGTGGCTGCCTCTTCAACAAGGTTCAAGTCAAAACGACGGTCGGAAGGGCCAAACATTTTCAAAGGTGTTGAAGAGAGAAGAGGTCGGACAAATCAATATCTTAGAAATGCAAGAATGGAGCTTCTACTGGTGGAGATTCAAGTGTGCTTTGGAACTTAATACCAACCTCTATAAAAATCTGCACTCGATGGAGCTTCAGAAGTCAAAGAGGCGCCTGCTCAGAAATCGAAAAGGTGTTTGCTTTCTCAAAAGCTGGGCTGCTCAGAGACCACGAGGGTCGATCTCAGGAATCGAAGAGGCGTTTGCTTTCTCAAAAACTAGGCTGCTCAAAGACCACGAAGGTCGATTGCAGAAATCGAAGAGGCGCTTGCTTTCTCAAAAGCTGGGCTGCTCAGAGACCACGAGGGCCGATCTTAGAAATCGAAGAGGCACCTGCTTTTTCAGCCTTGTCAGCACCTGTCACATGCACACTCAACTTTGCAGAAATTACGGGCATTCTGTCGAAGATATCTGGTGAAGTAGAAAGCACGTGAATGTTACTATTCAATCATCCACTTTCCACACGCAACATCAGCTCACGGGTACCACAGATAACTTTGCCAAAATCTCTGACAAAGTTTAGACACGTGAAGCTTGCAACTCCCATTACATTGCTATGACCAAGAAGGGTAAAAGAATAGTAAAGAAACAGCACTAACAAAGTTTAGACACATAAATTTTGAAGGTCTAGCTACCATATTATTACCCACAAGGGTAAAGGAACAGGACCACTGCTGGATAATTGGAAAGTTACTGTGTGTCAACCTCTGTGCTCCGTGGCAAGGTAGACTAGCAAACAGGCCTAACCTTTACTCACATTCGAGAAAACACTCCCAACAAGATTGCTTGCCTCAAGATCGAAGGGGCACCGTCCTCCGAATCTCGAGAGCCAGACTTCCAACATGATTACTTTCTCAAAAAGCGACGAGACACCGCTCTCCGAATCTCGAGAGCCAAACTCCTAACAAGATTGCTTTCTAAAAAATCGAAGAGGCACCGTTCTCCGAATCTCGAGATACATATCCCCGACATGATTGCTTGTTCGAAAACTGAAGAGGCACCGCTTTCTCAACTTCGAGAGCCCCTTAGATAAAGTTGGTCTGTAATCCTCACACCGTTTTCTCAACTTCGAGAGCCAGATCTCCTTGGATAAAGCTTGTCTGTGATCTTCACACGTAACATCAGCTTTCCAGATACCACAGACCACTTTTTCAAAGTGCTCTGACAAAGTTAAAACACGTGAAGCTGGCAGCTCCCATTACCGTGTTATGACCAAGCAGGGTAAAGGAATAGCATTACTCATTGTTGTTAGAAAGACTCCTATATATGTCGACCTTCATCCTCAATGGACAGGCAGACCTGCAAAAATGCTCAACCCTTCCTCATATCTGAGAGGGCACTCCCAACGAAGCCTCTCGAAATACTCAGCTTTCTTTCCCCCCGAAAATACCTCTGCAAACAAGCTACACCAGAGCAAGAATATCTCATATCATTAGGGTTAAAAGCAAGAGTATCCCATATCATGCTTTTTCCCTGTCTTTTCCTTTGGCCTTGTTCTTACCTGCAAGACAAGGAGAAAGAGAGCAATCAGTCAGCACTTGGAATCAAGCTTCCAGTTCGGAACTGACTGCCTGGAACCCCTTACCTGATTACTTACCTGACATTGCTCTCGAGTACTCATCTTCAACATCTTATGCTTCCCGAGAAAATACCACATCTGCCTGAGGAACAAATAGGGCAAGTGAGAAGGATACAAGGAAGCATGTGGAGACAAGCGCAACAGCACACGTGCCGATACATCCACTACTTTGTCAACAACAAAAGTATCCCATATCAGCAGGGTCGAACGTACTCTAGATTTGATGGACTTGTTTTGACCCTAAAATTCTTCAGTCGGCCTTATACTTTGGCGGAAACCAGAAAACCCTCCAGCCCAGTTCAAGAATAAGCTTGTGGAAAGTTACTTCTTCAAAAGCAAAAGTATCTCATATCACATTTTCTCATTTTCTTCTCTT